GTAATGTCTAGTTATTTTACAATGATTTTGTGGGGAAAATTTTAGTAAACGGACGGCAATGTCTAGAAAAAGGGGGGATGAGGGGAGGGGGTAGAATAGGTCCCCCTGATCTCAAAAATACCCCCTTTTTTTCTAGCAACCCTATAGTTCTTATATAATTTATTTTATTTATTTATTTAAACTACATATACAAATAAATTTATACAATATGGAATGGTGCCGAGTAACAAGACTATTAGCACCGGTTTAATTTAAAACATAGTGAGGAAGTACAGTGATTATTCTAATTAGTTTGATTTATTAGACTTATATGTATTTAGATGTCTTCAAGGACGCATTTTTGCAACAGCGCTCTACGTATTTCAGAATATGTTTCGGCTTTACTACAGTCCAATAATTCATGCAACGGTTTAACAGAACGAGTCTCTGGGCATTCTTTAAAAATATGTTCCACGGTGAGGTCAGAGCGGCATGTGCTACATTGGAATACCTGCTCCCTTGTGAATAGATTTTTAGTTGTAAACCGAGTTACCCCAACTCTGATACGTGCAATCGCGATACTGTTGTCGGGAGTAAACATGATTGTATTTAGGTCGTGTTATTGTTTTGTTGCATTTAGTAAAAAAGTGGTTGGACAAGTTCCATTTCTCCTTATAATTCTCCATTTTAGTACCTTTTTTTTAGTACAAGCTAAAGGTAATGTATATAAGGGTGGAACTTCAGCAACTAGCGGTAGTGTTAGTGCCTCCTTAGCTAGACGGTCAGCGTACTCGTTTCCAGAGATTCCACAGTGTCCAGGTACCCACAATATGCTGATTGTTTTACGAATTTTGAGCCCATTGAATACAAATTTAAAGTTGTTTGCTTCGGTGTTACGTAAAGATTGGATGACGCTGAGGCTGTCTGAGCATATGAGGGCTTTATTATTTTCAAGACTTGCCATTCTAACTGCTGAACGTAGAGCACACAGCTCGCTATGAAATATGCCAGCATGTGTTGGAAGTAGCGCCTGTTTCTCAATTTCAAAGTTAGTGCCACTTGTTTGTTTAACGACAGCGTAAGTTGAAACTCCTTCAGAAAAGGATCCGTCCGTATAATAAATTGTGTCAGGGGCAAATTGGCACTGGCATTGATAAGAGACGCATTTCTTGCTACAAGCTCGTTAAAAAAGAGTCAGATCTCGAATCACTAACACACGTGAATTTTAAGCTTGGGGTCTGCGCCCACAACTTCGATAATCTGTTGAGGCCTGAGTTGTGGCCAGCAAATGTTTCTGTTCGGCCGTTCCGTTTTTTTCAAAAATTGTCGCAACAAATGCAACTGAAGTAGCTCATGCGCGCTGGCGTAGTTGTTTATTATCAGAATCAGCAGACACTACAAAGCCAGTCGACAGCACTACCAGTGTGGTTGCACATAGTAAAATCAAAATTTATTTTCAAAATGTTTCTGGAATGAGAACTAAAGCTGATGTAGTCCGCAGACTGAGCTCACATTTGTATTTTGACATATTCGTAATCGTCGAAAGCTGGTTAACACCTAATTTCTTTGACTCTGAATTCTTCGATCCCGATCTATATAACGTTTATCGCAAGGACCGCGATGAAATCAAGTCGGGCCTGTCCAGAGGCGGTGGAGTGCTTATAGCAGTTCAGCGTAGATTGTGCTCGTCGATGGTTCATCTTCAAAATAATGATTCTATCCTCGAGCAGTTGTGCGTGAATGTTCGGAGTTCCTCTGAACTTCTCTTTGTATGTGTCTCTTATATTCCACCGAGCAGTTGCTTCGACATATATAGTGCGCACGTTGATAATGTTTTGAATCTCAGCTCGAGGATTGGCGAACACCACCTCTGTGTACTAGGTGACTTTAATTTGTGTAATGTATCTTGGAATAGCTTTAATAACTCCTCGTCTTTTACCGCGGTTAATGCGACTACAGACAGTGAGTTATGCGTAACTGATAGTTTCCTAAGTATTGGTCTTCAACAAATTAATGGAATTATAAATAATTATAAGCGTATTTTAGATCTAATTTTCATTAGCAATAATGTAAGTTATTGGGTGTTTGAATGCCCTTCCCCAATAACTCGCGTAAATAATCATCATATTCCTATGGAGGTTCATATTAAATTTTATGTTTTCGCTACTGTTCCTCCTGAGAGATGCCGACCAACTTTTAACTTTAGTTCGTGCAATTTTGATCTCTTAAATAGCCGTTTTCATGATTATGATTGGAAACACATTCTCGGCAATTTGGATGCTAACGCTGCATACAATGTTTTTAAAAGTAGTGTATATGAGGCGTGTGTAGAAATAGTGCCTTTAATTACGAGGAAGTTGTATAAGTTACCATGGTACAACAAGGATCTAAAGCGACTCAAAAATCGTAAAAATAGGCTTTTTAAAAGATTTAGGGCAACTAGGTCCCAATCTGTGTTCGTCAGTTATCAGTACTGCCTTAGGAGCTTTAATGCCTTGGACAAGATTCTCTATAATAGTTTTATTTGTAAAAGTGAAGCAGACATTAAAAACAACCCTAAAGCATTTTGGAGGTTTGTAAAATCTAAGAACGCTAAGTCGAGTGTGCCGTCCTCAGTCTTTTTGAATGACAAGGAGGCCAACACTCCTGCTGAGGTAGCCAATCTATTCGCAGAATTTTTCTCCTCCAATTATGTCTCGGATTCTAATGTGGCTTCCGAACGGTACCCTCTTTCAGATTCTGCCCTTAACTTAGGCGCACTGCATATTTCTGAAAGTGATGTAGAAGTAGCCATCTGCTCCATAAAGCACTCTTTTAAATTGGATTCTGACGGCCTCTCAGGTGCTATGCTCAAACGGTGCCCATCGCTTGTTCAGCCATTAACAATATTGTTCAATAAATCTCTTTCGTCTGGCTACTTTATTGACGACTGGAAAAATGCTTTCATTACACCAATCTACAAAAGTGGGAATAAAAACGACGTTTCGAATTATAGGCCTATTTCCAAACTGGGCACTGTCCCAAAAGTTTTGGAATCAGTTGTCAAACAGAAGCTCAACTTCGCAGTGAAAAGTTTAATTTGCCCTTACCAGCACGGTTTTGTTAGTGGTAGGTCAACTGTCTCCAACCTTGCTACATTCATGGAGGACTGTGTCGCTGCGATGCAGTCAGGTCTACAAGTGGACGCTGTGTACACAGACTTTTCGAAGGCGTTCGATAGAGTTTCGCATAAAGTCTTAATTAATAAGTTATCGCGATTGGGTTTTCACTCAACTTTTCTGGAATGGATTAATTCCTATCTGTCCGATAGGTGTTGTACAGTTGCTTTTGATAACATACTCTCCACTCCTTTTGTAGCTACGTCGGGTGTTCCCCAAGGCAGTATCTTGGGCCCTCTTTTATTTGTCTTATTCATAAATGATATTGGATCATGCTTCCAGTCTTCTAAGTATTTATTATATGCTGACGATCTAAAGGTTTACTCAGTAATCAGAACCTCACAAGACTCTCTTTTGCTGCAAGCTGAGCTTAATAACCTGCATTCTTGGTGCTCTCTTAATTCCTTATCTTTAAATGTTAGTAAATGTTCCTACTCCACTTTCACCAGAAAGCTTCTTACCGTTCAAACTAATTACAATATTGGGGGCCATGAACTTAGTTATGTCGCAGAGGTTAAAGACTTAGGGGTTTACTTCGACTCAAAATTAACCTTCGCAACCCATATTAACTACGTAGTTTCCAAAGCTTATGCAATGCTAGCATTCGTACGTCGTAATGGTCAGTTGTTTAAGGATCCCTATACTCTGAAGCTTCTTTATGTCACGTTAGTGAGATCTAGGCTTGAGTATGCGTCTTTCATTTGGCGTCCCTATCAGGCTGTCTATATAAACCGGATTGAGAAGATTCAAAAAGTTTTTATTAAATTTGCCTTGCGTTCTCTAAAATTTTCTGAGCCTATACCTCCGTATACTTCCCGTTGTCAACTTATTAACTTAAGTTCGTTAAATACTAGGCGTTCTTTCCTAGCAGCCTCTTTTGTGGCCAAAATATTGGAGGGCACAGTCGATTGTCCTAATCTTCTGGATAAGTTAGCATTAAACGTCCCGTCTCATAATCTGCGGCGTGTTTCTTTATTCTACCTGGGATTTCCTAAAACTAACTATGTAAAATTCTCGCCTTTGTTCAGAACCCTTTCTGAGCTAAATGAGCTCTCTGAATATGACCCGTCTCTCTCATTTGGAACAGTTCGTTTTGTCCTACTTAATTATTTTAGGTAGTATATAAGCTCTCTTGTTTTATAGTCAGTAAGGATTTATTCCATTTGATTAAATAAATAAATAAATTGATGAACTTTTTCCGCAAACAGGGATCTATATATATCAGGAT